CACCTTCGAGTTGTAAAAACAGCAATATCTGCGAAGCGCAATAAAGCGAGGTATGGCTGTATTATCTCCGAATATTTTAATACCCTTTCGTGGCCTTGAAAATGTAATGTTTCCAGGTGTCGACGAGGCAGTTGTTAGAGATCTGATGGAGTGAAAACGAATCTACTGGAGTCTAAATGACACAAGGCTCGAGTCTGAACATGACAACTCATAAAACACAACATCGGCACCGAATGAAACAGAAAGACAAAGTTCACACGTGTTCCTGTGTTATGTACACATAACAAAAATGCATGTTCGAAGGTCACAGCGGAATCGTACGTCGTAACACACGAACAGAAGAGTCCATGAGAGTGATGAAGGGTCGGTTGGGGGAGACCGAAGTCCTTCCGTGGCTTTGGATCACGTAATTTGTTTACCTTGTACTACAAATGGATGATTTTGCTTCGCCCATTACTTTTGTCTGTAAATTGCAAGTTGTAGTTTTATTCGGGTTCCGTTTGATGTAAAGAATGCCTTCCGAGAGGCTATGCCCACTTCCTCGAGAGCCAGACGTCTGTGAAAGGTAATTTTCATGAAGGATAAATACCTAGAGAGCTCCGTGGAAAGGATGCCGACTGTCGCCATTTTGTGGATAAGGTACTAATCATATTCCTAAGTTTACGTCTAAAAGTCTCCACAGTCGGCCTTCAGAATGCAAACTGCTTTACGGGATTTAAGATTTAAATATCTCCAAAATGTACACATTATTTTTACAAGGACATTTTCCTGAAGAGTATTTATGTGTTCAAGATGAGGTTAAATCTGAGTTGTTGTTAAATTAAATACAGGCAACTCTCGGTTTACGAACGAGTTCTGTTCCAAGACATTCTTCGTTATGTGTATCTTGCATTCCTGAGATTTTACGATATGTATCGTATACGTTAGCAGCCATTTTAAAGCATTAAAACCACGTACTAAACATCGAATGGTCTATACCAGTGGTATTCAACCTGGGGTACGCGAAGACATCTTAGGGGGTACGTGAAATTTAAAAAAAATATATTATTTTATGATAAACACTGAATAATCAGTAATGTAATTTATTTAATTTATTTTAGATGTAGATTATATACTATTCATAACTTGAATTATACACCAACAACTTTGGGGGTACAAAGTTGAAGAGAAATTACATCTGGGGGTACGCGAAGACATCTTAGGGGATACGTGAAATTTAAAAAAAATATATTATTTTATGATAAACACTGAATAATCAGTAATGTAATTTATTTAATTTATTTTAGATGTAGATTATATACTATGTATAACTTGAATTATACATAGTATAAAGTTGAAGAGAAATTATATCTGGGGGTACACGAATAAAAAAGGTTGAATACCACTGGTCTATACAATAAGTTTTATTATAATGTGTATATGCGTTATGGTTTATCGTATACGATACGTAGCGTACGCCACGTGGCGTGGCATGTAAACCAACTTTTTTTACTGACTAGATTAGTTTTATTAACCAAGAACAGTTCAGTATAATTATTATATAATAATTTTCTGATAATTATTGTAATAAATAAATGTTTTAAAAGTTTATTTATATAAATCTTACAATTATGTTGACTATACGTTCGGCAGTTCGTTTTATAAGAAACTCCATCTATTGGCGACTTTAAGAAATGTTGAATGAATTGTAACGTTCGTTATAGGAAATGTTCGTAAACCGAGAGTTTCCTTACAAATACTATAGAAAGTCTACATGTAGAACTGAGACCATTACTACAGAATGAGACAGCACAAATTAAAATTTAAAGAGACTGTATGTATGTTATCGGAAAGAAAATAGTATAGAATATCGGTTGACCTTCAATAACCTAACCTCATTTCCCGCTCACCTGTAAATGAAATTTACTACATGCGATAACATTGGGAGTTTAACCCTTGTATTTATAGTGGCAAAGAACGAAGGGGTACTGTGATTACGTGGCCAGAAATAAAAAGTCAACGAGGTGTTAATAAGTTAATTTTGTGCCTCCATTATTCTCATGCACATTCTTCCCGGAAGTGTGAGACAGTGGCGCCATACTCTGACGCTTGTCCAGGGCAAAATATGAACCACACCACCATGGTAAATTAAGGCAAACTTTATTAGATTACTTACCACCTTGCTATTCGTGGTTACTTATATTTTATATATGATAAACTGGTTGGCATTATTATTGGTTGCATAAAGAAGAAACATGGAAAAGTTTAAATATTAACCTCGAGTGTATAAATCTTTTTGGGACATTCTGTATACAGACTGGGAAGAATTATTGGAAAAGTTTGTTGTCATATCAGCGAATGACATTTAGTTAGGAGATTTTAAATGTCGTTTTCCAAAGATGTTAAGACATTTTGTTACAGAAAGAGAGGTACATCTCAAATAGGAAGTAATTGGAATTATCTTTACTCTACTCTAGCTCAAAAATATGAAGTCACAGTGAAAATAAAATACCGGAAACCACGTGGGAGACTCGACGTACAGGAGAGAAATACAGAGATTTATCTTCCTACAAAACCACTTTGCAAGGATAATTTGCCAGTCAAATGTACAAAGCTAGAAGACGTTAAAAAATTGTGCAAATATTTAGAACAAGAGTTTCAGGCTTCCATGGCATCCTTGAGAACAGGAAATGACGGTGGTAACTGAATATTAAGACCTGAAGTTTTCACGGCGGCTAGCGTAATAAATTCTTCTCGGGCTTAACACCAACGTTTCGAGAACCATATTTGTCGTGAGGACGAGGACGAAGATGGTTCTCAAAACGCTGGTATTCTTTAATTAAGCTACCTTACACCTTATACCGTTTATAAAATTAAACGGATTAGTTTTAAGGTAATGATTATGATTACTAGAGGACATTTATAAAACTAAAATATAATTAAAGTTTTTCACATTTGTAACTGTCTTTGCCCAATCATTTTAATTAAATGTTAATACCACAGCTTTCGAGTGAACAAGGACCAAAAATCACAGAAAGTTTTACTACAAGCTAGTAGAAAGATTGTCCTAGAAATGAATTCAGAAAAAAACTAAGTACATGTTAGTATTCCGTCAGCAAACAGGCGGGTAAAATCATATCAGGGTGGATAATAAGTCCTTTGAAAGTTTTACAAAGTTCAAATATCTGGGAACAACAATAACAAATGAAAATGATACTCATGAGGAAGTTAGGAGGAGATTAAATTCCAGAAATGCTTGCTACTTCTCAGCTCAAAATATTTTGTCTTCCCGTCTGATTTCTAAGAACCTGAAAATTAAAATATACAAAACAATAATCTTGCCTGTTGTTTTGTATGGGTGCGAAACATGGTCTCTCACTCAGAGG